ATATTTAAAATTTGCACCAATTCGTATTTATAATATATTTTATGTATGTGTATTTCCAGCGCTAAATTGTAAGCTAAATATTTGATTTTAAATTAAATCACTCCATTTATGAAATATATAACTCAGTATATCATTTTATTTTTCATTTAATTTAACAATTTTAATTAATAAATTTCGGTATTTGATTATTGTTTGAACAAATTTGCTGTATTAATAATCGAATCAAAAACCTTGTCAGCTTTAAGGAATGTTGTTAATTGAATATGCGAGTGCTTATGGCATGCACAGATGAGTAACACGTACATATACCCATATGTACTAGATATTTTATTATGCATATAGTATAGGTTTTATCTTAGTTGTTGTTGCTACTCACTTGGGTCCGTAGCGCGGATGGTTTAAGATTGATTGCACTGTGGTATCTCGTAGCTGGAAATTTCCATATGGCAGCGGTGATTTATCTGACGAGCCCAGCGCCGAGTCGGTGAAGTCAGAGTTCAGATTTTGCCTGCAATGGGGTGGGAAGAAGAGGCAGATGAGCAAGGCGTGCCGAGTTGCGCTTAGCTGGCCAATTGTTAAAACGGGGCGTGGTCAATGCGGTTAATTAAAGTTATGGCATTTGAACTTCCGCTTCGGCGCGGTTTAATCGAGCGCTTCAAAATTGTCAAACCAAACAGGTGCAGCAGCAGCACCTGTAGCAGCGGATGTGACAAGGGCACGCCCACAATGCTTCCGCACTTACCTATAAATGGACCAGGCATGCAGATCTTCGGATGCTGCCGGCGGCAGCGGTGTATTGGGACCATGCGGCACTGAATAGCGACGCTCCTCGCGTGACATTTTCTTATTGCTGGAAAAGTTGCTCAGCTCCATGGTCTGTAAAAGACAGATAGAGAGAGACAGAGAGAGAGAGAGAGAGAGAGAGAGAGAATGGAAGAGAATTAGTGTCGTGGTAGAGAGAGAGAGAGAGAGATCCAGTTAAACTGGGTCAAGAATGTCAGCGTGAGAGAGAGAGAGAATAATTTGCGGGAATTAGCTTAATGAAAGCCACGCACACAAACATAAATATATCGTATATACAAGTATAGTTGTGTGTGTGTCTGTAGGCCCCTACTATTGTTTAGCT